TCTTCCCTTCCTTATCTCTAGGCCCATGGGCCTCTTGGGGCTGGTGCCCTTGGCCCATATAGGCCAAGGCACACCCCCTACAGCCCATGTGCCCCCCGGGGCAGGTGGCCCCACCCGGTGGACCGTCGGGACCCTTCCGGTGGTCCCGGTACAATATCGGTGACCCCGAAACTTGTCCCGATGCCCGAAATAGCACTTCCTATATATAATTCTTTACCTCCGGACCATTCCGGAACTCCTCGTGACGTCCGGGATCTCATCCGAGACTCCGAACAACATTCGGGTTACCGCATATACATATCCCTACAACCCTAGCGTCACCGAACCTTAAGTGTGTAGACCCTACGGGTTCGGGAGACATGTAGACATGACCGAGATCGCTCTCCGGTCAATAACCAACAGCAGGATCTGGATACCCATGTTGGCTCCCACATGCTCCTCGATGATCTCATCGGATGAACCACGATGTCGAGGATTCAAGCAACCCCGTATACAATTCCCTTTGTCAATCGGTATGTTACTTGCCCGAGATTCGATCGTCGGTATCCCAATACCTCGTTCAATCTTGTTACCGGCAAGTCACTTTACTCGTACCGTAATGCATGATCCCGTGACCAGACACTTGGTCACTTTGAGCTCATTATGATGATGCATTACCGAGTGGGCCCAGTGATACCTCTCCATCATACGGAGTGACAAATCCCAGTCTTGATCCATGTCAACCCAACAGACACTTTCGGAGATACCCGTAGTATACCTTTATAGTCACCCAGTTACGTTGTGACGTTTGGTACACCCAAAGCACTCCTACGGTATCCGGGAGTTACACGATCTCATGGTCTAAGGAAAAGATACTTGACATTGGAAAAACTCTAGCAAACGAACTATACGATCTTATGCTATGTTTAGGATTGGGTCTCGTCCATCACATCATTCTCCCAATGATGTGATCTCGTTATCAATGACATCCAATGTCCATAGTCAGGAAACCATGACTATCTGTTGATCAACGAGCTAGTCAACTAGAGGCTTACTAGGGACATGTTGGTGTCTATTATTCACACATGTATTACGATTTCCGGATAACACAATTATAGCATGAATAAAAGACAATTATCATGAACAAGGAAATATAATAATAATCCTTTTATTATTGCCTCTAGGGCATATTTCCAACAGACACATGGAACGGAACGAGGAGCGAGTTTATGAGGAGTGGTGGCGGTGGTGTTGGGGTAGCAACGGCAACCGAAAATTCGAAGACCATCGTAGGAGGGAGGAGTGCCATATAAGAGATGCTAAGGCGCGTAGTTCCAGCACGGACGACATGGCCGAAGATTAAGGAGGAGGGTGGCGGTGGCGAGGGCATCTGGCCAAAACCGAGAAGGCATGTAGGCATGGAAAAGAAGAGTACTCACACACTCATTGAGGGTGTGTAGGATGCGCTCGGCACGGCCATTCTGCTGGGAGGTGTATGGACACGTGAGACAAAACACGGTGCCATGGGAGGAAAGAAGATGGCGGATGGTGAGATTGTCGAATTCTTTCCTGTTATCGGTCTGAAGTGTGAGTATGGGTCGCCCAAACTGTGTGGAGACATAAGCATAAAATGCAATGAGAGTGGCGGCAACATCGGATTTCCTACGAAGAGGAAATGTCCACACAAAGTGAGAGTAGTCATCCAGTATAACAAGATAATAGAGATAACCTGAATTACTAGGTATTGGAGATGTCCATACATCGCTATGAATCAATTCAAACGGAAAAGATGCAACTGTGGAAGAGGAACTAAAAGGAAGGCGAACATGTTTGCCTAACCAGCAGGCTTCACAGGAGTGAGCAGCCGTTTTATTGCATGAAAAAGAAAATCCTCTCATTATTTGACGAAGTGAAGAAGTGCTAGGATGCCCGAGACGAGCATGCCAAAGATCGACGCCGGTGGAAAAAGCTCGAGGACCACCCGGAGATGACGACCATTGAACTAGGTAGAGGTTGCCGGGACTGTCACAGCGGTGAAGAATCATCCTGGTGCGAGCGTCCTTAACAGAAAAGCCAACTTCGTCAAATTCCACAATTACAAAATTGTCACGAGAAAGATTACGAACGGAAACTAAGTTCTGAATAAGATGAAGAGAAACAATGACATTATTAAGAGAAAGTGGTCGAGAGTTGGAGGGAAAGGGTGCAGAACCGACATGAGAGATGGGAAGACCGACACCATTATCGATGATGACGCGGGAGGGAGTGGAAGTGGGATGGACGGAAGAGAGTTACCCGGATGAGCGGACATATGAGCGGTGGCACCGGAGTCCATAATCCAATCGCCGCCACCACCAGAATAGGGCGACGGCTGCTGCAGGGCCGCGAGAAGGGCCGGGTCGTAGGAGGGGGCGCCGTACGCGCCGTAGGAGGGCGCGACAGGAGGGGCGCCGTGGGCGCCGATGGGCGCGGCCAGGAGCGCCTGGTGAGGACTTGAGCGAGGGCCGAGGATGCCCGGGGCGGGGGGGCGCGGCACGGGCATATTGTAGGCGTGCACGACCCCCGTCCAGGGGTTGTAGCCGCCGGCCCAGGGCGGCGGGGGTTGCTGCTGGGGGGTTGACCACCGTCGCCTCCTCCTTTGCTGCCGCCTTGGCGTTGGCCACCGCGACCGCGGCGACGGTTGCCGCCGTTCCCACCATTACGCGGTGGTTGGGGTGCCTGCGGCACCGGCATAGGGTGCGGGAGGACCGGAGGACGGGGCGCCGAGGCTGGTGTAGAGGCGCCGGTGGAGATGCCAGCGGCGAGCGCGGTGTGGACGGCACGGGTGCGGAGGTGCTTCATCCTCCGCTCCTCAAGACGAAGATAGGCCACCGCCCGCTCGTAAGTAGGGTTGGCCATGAGGGTGAGGTTGGAGGCGGCGTTGCCGAAGTCCTCGTTGAGGCCGGCGGTGAGCGTCGACAGGAGAAGCTCGTCGCCCACCTTGAACCCGACGTCGTTGAGCTCGTCGGAGAGGGTCTTGAGCCGGAGACAGAAAGCATCGATGGTGGAGTCGTTTTGGTGACACCCAAAAAAATCCTGCTGCAAGAAAACAATCCGTTGAAGCTTGTTGTCGGTGAAGAGGCCATTGATCTTGGTCCACACCGTGTAGGCATCGTCCCCATCGCGAACGACGGTGTGGAAGATGTCCGGAGAGACGGTGAGGAAGAACCACCGGATGAGGGTGGCGTCGATGGCGAGCCAGTTGGCGTCGTGGGCGCCGGCAAAAAAGTTGGCTAGACCGTCCACGTGATCACGAAGGTTGTACTCATGGAAGAGGAGATTGAAGTAGGTTTTCCAGGCATAGTAGTTGGCGGAGGCGTGGGAGAGGATGATGGGAACGTGATCGGAGAGGTGGATGTTGCGGATGTTGGCGGCTCGGGGTTCATCGGGCACGGACCCGTAGGAGGTGTCGAACGGGTTGCTAGGGTGGGAGCTGGAGGAGGAAGAGGTGCCGAGGGCCGACATGGCAGCAGGGGAGGGTGGCGGCGCGAGATGGGATCGGGAGGGTTTTAGGGTTCGGGAGGGAGGCGGCTTGGGGCGGCG